CGACCCTTGACAGAGAAGCTGATGTCACGCCTACGCCACAGGTGACGTAGGTTCGCAAAAGCTGCTGTGGCCTTCCCAATCCGGATGGAAATATCATCTTTCGCCAGAACACCGGGACTGCCCAGGCAGACAAATTTGTCTACTACCTCAATCGGTTCAGCCGCAAGCATGAGGCTAGGGTTCGAGCCCACCCAGTCTTGCAGTAGCACTTTACACTTTGCAGGTGTGAAGCGCGTACCAAACCGCGAGGCAGAATTATCTAGATTATTTAGTATTGTTTGCATTGCCACGGGGTCAGATCCAAGAAGAGCTATGTCGTCTGCGTGCTCGATGTCTGTGAGCGGAGGCCCAGGGAGCACTTCGACCCCACAGGTATTAGAGGCTAGTAGTGAGTCTTCCATGATGGTATCAATGATGAAGTTGAAGAGGAAAGGTGAAAGAGGACAGCCCTGTCGGACACCATTGATGTGGTGAACTCAGGGGAAAGCTTCCCGTAGACCTTTACACGGCCGCGGGAGTTGGCATACAGCACCTTAATGAGGGTCAAGAATTTATGAGGGACACCTTTGCTCCACAGACACTGTCGTAGAGCTTGGCGGTCCACAGAGTCAAAGGCCGCTTTCAGATCAAGAAAAACAACCATTTTTGGTTGCTGGAAGCAGTGTCGCTGTTCCAGAATCTGTCGGAGGGTGAAGATATGATCGATGCAACCTCTTGCAGGACGGAACCCAGCTTGGTTTTCACGGATCTGCCTCTCCCTGTGTTCAGTCAACCTTGGAAGGATAAGGCCAGACGGCACCTCCGATGCCACAGCTAACAGGCTGATGCCACAGTGGTTTTCGCATGGCATCCGTGTACCCTTTTTGAAGATAGGGATAACTGTCGACATGCCCCATTCTTCAGGCACTTTCTCTTCGTCCCACATAGTACCAACAAGCTTTGTCAGGTGGGTCACCAGGAAATTTCCGCCGGTGAGAAGCCAATCGACCCAAAAAATCATATGGAACTTCCAGAAAAGGATCCTTGAGCACCTGCTAGACCATCTTATGTCGGATATTAACGTGCAGTTGGAACTCAATCCAAACTTCCGTCTGCGGTGCAACCCTGCCAACTCATCCAAACATTGAATCTCCGATAGGACCATGGCTCAGCTGGAGGCCCGGGGAGATTACTCCTGGCCTCAAACACAACTTATCTGACGCCAGCTGAAACTGAGTGTCCGTGCAAACCGCGAGGCTTGGTGGGCCTGAAAGGCCAAAGAAATGAGGTCAGAATGTTGGAGACGTCCGCGTACTGCCCCCCTTGATTTGTTCGACTGGTCCTCGGAAGCCTCTAGACCAACATGGCTTTCCAGCAATGAGCTACAATGGCTACTTCCAATCCCGACTACCGTCCTCCAACGGGTGAGCTGTGAACATGGAACCTCTCTCAGCCTCTGAGGCGTCATCGTGCTTCTGGTCCTGACGACCCACAACCCGCGCTGTCCAAGGATGGCGGTGAATCCCTCAGTCAGGGTCTATATCACTTGGGAGCATCTGGGAGGCCGCCCCGGACAATTGGAGAGAGTTGATAACAAGGCTTTTGGCCTCCGTGATTCTTCGTTTAATGGCACACAAAATCCTGACCCGTGAGCGTCAAGCAGGATCCCAACCAGGAAGTCTGAGTCGGCAGTTTAAAACCTCGTCAGGTATTAGAGCAATGCCATATGTACAGACGATACACAATCTTATTGTCCCTTGACATCAAGGGTGCTCTCCATCTATCTAATTGCTCAGCATTATACGTCGCAGATGTTTGAGTGTAATCCGGTTCCCATATTCACATCCTTCTGGGTATGGTTAGCCCTCCAGAAGCCTCCTACACGGAAGTCTATTATATCCGTTGCTGATTAACTTCGTCACCGATTAGTGAGCTGAACGCTAGGTCTTCAAGACGCCAGTGTTCAAATCGTTGTTGCTTAGAAGCTTGTCGATCTGGAGTACCTCATCTTCCATGATGAAGGTCAAGTACAAGCAGTGCTGACCGCCACCATATTCTCTTGGGCACCTATAAAGTTATCAGTCAGGCTCAAACAACTTTGTGTGGCCTTCGCAAATCACGAAGCAGACGGTTGTTCATAGACCTCAGCAGTTGTATCAGCCAGCGTAGAAATCCCTGAGATCTGGGCCACGTGTTGAAAGCAAAGAGACATCACTGGACTTTAAGCGTCAAATGTATCAGGCTACAGTATCGGCTACTGCACCGATGCATGGTAGCGAGATATGGCCTATATGTAAGGTGAGGCGTCTTCAACTTTTTGCCACCGGTGCTCTAGAATCGTTGCCACTGTCGGACAGCTTCAATGAATGCGTATTGAAGTAGTCAGAAAATGAGTATCTAGATGCGCGGCAAATACTTCAGTCATTGAAACCCTGAAGAACCATCAACTAGTGGTTCGGTTATGTGCCGCGCCTGCCCAAGTATCTAACGAGACCTGTACCTGCTTCTGCAGTATACGATGTTGGGTAGCGTATGACTTCGCAGAGGGGTATGAAGGAGATTCCGTAGCGTTTAGATGTTGTTAACGCGACCCGCCTTCCCGCAGCAGACCAGCGTCAGATTCCACCGTCACCCACTTCTCAATTCAGGCCTTAAGTAGGATCAAATTAACCCCGTAGATATGCTGCACCGAGGCGTCAGTGTCAAGGCCGATGTTGCCGTGCCTGATGATGGTGATGTGACAGACCGCATTCGATACTATCAGGGAAAATAAAGATCCAATAGAAGCCTTGTGCGACCCACCAATGCAATTCTGGTTTGTGTCGACCAGCTGTCTTCTAGTTTTCTCTCAGAAAACTTACTCTACTGTTACTGTTGTTGTTGATGAAATGATGCTATCTTGAGTCGCGGGGGGCAAGATGGCAGTGGTTAGAGCGCGGACTTACCGACCGGAAGTCCGTGGTCAAAACTCAAACTCTGCAACTCGAATTCCCCTGTCTGGGATTATCCCGGCACTCGTGCTTCCTTTGGATGGCATGATAGCCAGTCACCGCAGCCGAACGATGGTATCCAGTCGTTGCGTATTCGCCAGCTTAATACATACTTCTGCCAAAGACCCACCTGAGCTGGCCGTCCGGTAACATCCTCCTAGTAACTATCTAGCTGTGCGCGTGACTGTGTAAAACGCATGCAACACCATTGTGTACGAGTTTACCTGCCTCTTAAACACAAAAGCACCTCTGAATCCCTGTAAGCATACTTCTTTGAATCACTTTTCGAGTTCCTCAAATTCCAGAAGCCACTAGTAATCCCTCAAGCGAGTGCAATCAGGTTATGGACCCAGTGTTTGCCCATTAGAGAGTAATTTGCCGGAACGCCAGTGAGGTTCGATACATAACACGCATAAACAACCGATTAGAAGAGCACGAGTCTGTAAAAATATCTTTTTCGAACACACTGTACAAAACGGGCTCATGCTAATCGCTTTCATCCGAAGACGGTTCTTGTATCTTTGGGTTCTTCTTCGACCTGCAAAAAAAAGTTTAGGACGTGACGGTGATGTCCATTGGTTGATCGACGGCCATCCAGATATATGTATTCGGCTTACCGTGGAGGTCCAGGTTCCTCATCACTAGAACTCGAAGAGACCGGCACAGGGTTATGTGAATTTCGCCTGAGATCATAGGCCGTTTATCAAACTAACTCACTTGTGTACTTTTGAATCAACTCCATCTTCTACTTTAACACTGAAGTGAATGACGTTACCGTCCAACCGAACTTACACTTTGGATGCCGCTGGGACCACAGGAGGAGCTTCCCCAGGTTTCGCATACTTGCTCAGTAGGCCTTGGGCCACCAGCTTTTTTCGCTCCATTGCGACGGGGCCACGACCCCATTGACGAGGGTACAGGTCACGTTCCATGATCACGCGCTTCAGCTTGGCAACCAGCCCATGATCACATGTCGCGATAGTAGCCGTCGTCATGAGAGCTATGGCTGCAGGCAGCAGTTAGTGTCGTCCTAACAATGCAACGTACCAATGGCGATAGCTTCACCTTTGGTAGTCATAAGGACAATTTCGTCGTTAACAGTAATGTCGTTGTCGTAGCGTAGGACGCCCGGCAACATCAATTTTGCACCATAACATATAGCGCTCACCTGAAGATACGTGAAATATAAACTGGACGTACTGCAGTGTCCTTCAGCATAATCCGTTTATGTCCAATCAGCAACTTTTCAAGCGGCATAATTACTCGGCGAAGGTAAGACTCGTCCCGCCTGTTGTCATACAGCCACTTAGCATCGAGTATATCGTGCATCGTGACCATATTATCCTCTTCAGTGAGGATACCAGAACGAATCCGCCGGAGTTCTTCCATTACGCCCCCGCAGCCCAGCAACAATCCAATATGCACACACAGGGTGCGGACATAAGTGCCAGCCTCACATGTCACACGGATAACACCTGACGTGTAAAAAAGGGATAAGCATACCTAGTCCTTTTTCCTTATCGTATTCCAAAAGTTTGTTCTCATACACAGTCCTGACTCGCAGTTGCCTCTTAACAGCCGCTACAAGCGGTGGTCGTTGAAACAACGCTCCAGATAAAGTTTCTACGGCCTGAGAATCGTTACGAAATCTCAACCGGCATACCTGATGAACACGTTTGTAGTCATCAAGAGCTTCATGTAGACGGAAAATGCCAACATATACCTTTCCTGCACTTTGCTGCGACTTCACAAGTCTTGTTGCTCGGTCGATACAAACAATAAGGCAACCTGGAAACTAAAATCCGCCGATATTCGGGAGTTACCTGTTACTTTCGGGTCCAGTGTGCCACTGTGCCCAGTTTTCCCCACGCACAACGCCCTTTTTACCCAAGCAACAACCTCGTGTGAGGACGGGTTAGAGGGTTTATCTAGGTTGATCACGCCAGTTCTAAGGTGTTGCGAAGCCGAATAGTGGACCTTACTGTATGTGTTCCTCTATTGGCCTGTGTAGTGGCGAATAACCAGTAGTATCTGCTTCGAAGTGGCATTCACGAACGTTCATCAAATGTACATTCTACACATAAAACTGTTGGATGAAAAACTACCTTCAGCAGAAGTGGCCACTGACTGCAATCCAGAGTTGGGCGCTTGTTTTCCGAGACAATAGCGACAGGCTCGGCAGCTTGAAGCGACTGGGAATAAATAAACAAAACCAGTGTCGACTACCCCAACGTCAACTTTCGGACGTTTATGTTTCGACCTCTTGACATCCATCGGTGCACGTGAAAGATAGGCACGCTTCGCGCCACACGTCTGTTTCAGGTACACGAAACGCGTTAAAACAACTGTGCAAACTAAATGATCATCTGGTTCAGTAAGGGTATATACGTGTGGGAAACTAAAGGCTGGTCAGGCCAAGTCGGAATTTGTTTCGCACCGGTAGCAGTTCAGCGGAAAGCAGGATGTACGGATTCACGGATTGAAAAACAGGTGTAGTGTCTGAACTTGAAACACACATTGCAACTGTCGTTCACATTGTATCATGACGTTTGTTTTAATGTTACGAATACACATTTTCCGGCGCCACCTGCTGACTCCTTGCTGAACGAGAGTATTTACGCTACATTGAACTGTTTTTTGATTGCTGAACCAGTGGGACTAAATCCCTGTGTCTGTGTCAACTGTTGAACGTTACAATAAATCCCTGTGACATTTTTTAGCCGTGAATAATTTTCTTACCGTGGAACATATCACGCACGCGGAACCATCTGTGGGAAATTCCGACAAGTGAATATTTCCTTCCACAGCCAGTTACTGCATTTGGATCGGTGTAGTGGACTATTGGATCTACACATTCGTGAGTCCCCATTTGACTACTCATTCTTTTCCTATTGTGATTTTGTGATTTTGTATTGGTTACTTTGCTTGCTAATTCATCCGAACACGCTGACAAGGTCCTAGTCCGCTACACAGAATCGAGGCTATTGCCCAATCTTCCCGGGTCGCTTTTTTTCTTTTTGGTCAGTGGCTGTCGTTCACCTGAAAGGCACAAGTGTAAAAGGGTGTAGCACCGCTCTTTATGTTCTCAGCGCGGGGCAGTATGCTTGGTAATGTCCGTCCTTGGTTACACTTGCAGTTGGCAATAGTATTAGTTGTATGAGCTGGGGCCTTAGCTCAAAATTACGGTCAGCAAGCTCGACAGCGCGAGGGCGTACAATAGCGTTCCAAAGTACCTCAAACTGGGTTCCGGGTGCAGAGTAAGCAACCACAGGAGTTAGTTAATTTAACCCGTCAGATACCCAAATGCGGAAAATTGTCTAACACGTTATCTAACCACTTGAGGGTAGTTCTTTAGACACATTCATGGATTCACATATTCAAGGATTGATACACAGGATCTAGACTTTTGCCCAACTTCCCCGGGTCGATTTTTTCTTGTCGTTCAGTGCCTTTCGTTCATTTGAAAGGCAAGTGAAAGAAGGTTGTAGCATCGGTCTTTATGTTCTCACCGCGTGGCAGTATGCTTTGCAGCGCGAGGACTAACATAAAAAAGTATCTAGTAGTGCTTTGGACTGGGTTTTCGAAGGAGCGTGGACAATCGACGGAGGAAGTTTATTCCACGCAGCTACCACTTGAAGTGAGAAAATTTTTTGCTTCATGAATGTGTGCACTCTGAGCTTGAAAATCTTCCTACCATGCCCCCGCCATGTGTTTGCTGGGTCAGTGAAGAAAAATCTGTTGTTTGTTCAAATAAGGCATACGTAAGAGTTGGATCCCCTCGGAGGAGTCCAGGGGACGGGCGTCAACACTGCGAGACGCCTTTCGTAGTCTACGGATTTGAGGCTGGCATCCATTTTCGTAGCGGCTCGCAGGACAAGCTCAACAAAGATGACGTCTTTCGTACGTCCTGAGTAGATAAATCGGTTGGCGCATTCAAGGAGCGGTCTGACGTAGGCCCCATAGAGTATTTGGAGGTCGATGGGGGTAACGCGAGGGAAAGTGCATCGAATCATCCGCAAATTAGGAATGCCTTCTGGGCTGATTTCCCAATGGTGCAGTTAGAAGGACAGGTTGGAAGGGTCGAAACCAAAATCCTTTTGGGCGTCTATCTTCATGATGTTTTCTGGTGCCTTCTCAGCCTGCATGGCAAAGGAATTCGCTGGGCCTCCTCCAAATTGCATATGGACGCGCATTTCAGAGGAAGGTGCCAGAACAACTACCACTGCTTGGCAGCGTCCACATCCATTTGGAGGGCACTGGCATTGGTACACCAGGATTTCAAGTCGCCCGCAAAAAGTAGACATGGACTTGCAAGAACATCTGGGAGGTCGTTGACGTAGATCAGAAACACGAGTGGTCCCAGGACGGTTCCTTAAGGAAATCCAATGAAGACCGGCACTGGAGAAGCGTATGTTGTGCCTATTCTCACTCGGAATGATCTATCTAATAGGAACGTTTTGCCTTGATCCAGCGAAGGATTTTCCCTTGAATCCTGTAAGACTCGAGTTGGTGGAGCAGCGGGACGTGTGTGACGCTATCAAATGCTTTCGAGAAGTCAAAAAATATGGCATCCGATTTGAGTCCTTCGTCCTTGGCCTGGGTTAAGCTGTCCATGAACACAAGCATTTCTGACACAAAAGAACGGTTTTGAAGAGATCCTTGTTGAGCTGGAGATATCAAGCTGTTTGAAGTAAGTTGATCTAGGATAGCTCGCTTAAGAACGAGCTCTTTCAGCTTGCACGGCACGTTAGTGGAGTTTGTAGGACTGTGGTTCCCAGGAGATAGTCGGTCACCAGTTTTGTAGAGTGGCCTGATATTCGCTTCCTTCCGAGCAGAGGTGTACTTAAGAAAGATCGTCAAAAATGTCTGGAAGTTCACACTAGTTATATGAGGGGCACGCCAAATCCTACGAAGGAAAAATGCTCTTCGAGATAAGTTTTCATCGTGCAATACGGAGTAGATGTTTGACGACAGCCAGATACCTAAACCCCTCTTGGGGGTTTCCTTCAAGATATCCTGGGGCGCATTCTAACCAAGCACATCAGAGACGCTCACTGAGTCCCATCCGAATGGCATATAAACGTGCCTTTCGGCATTCAAGAACGGCTTTGGAAGAATCCGTTTAGGTTGGGTATATGAAGCTGTTGACATTGCGGTGAACTAAAATGCCTTGCTTCAGAATGTCTTTCGTCATCCTGAATGCTATGTTGGTGAGGCTACCAGGCCCGTGGCTGCCTAGCGATATGCACTAACCGTATATATGGGCCCGCATGAGACTTGCTTTCTTTCAGGCATTCAGGTTTCCTTCATCGACTTACTGATGAAACTTAAGGAAAAATGCTTTGCTACTGTTCCTTTTAGGATTCCCGGGTAGACACCATCTGGCCCCAATCAGCTGAGGAGATTTGGCTTGTGAGGAAGTAGGCGGAAAGCCTCCTCCGTGACGATAATCTTGGAGAGGGGCCTTTTGTAGTTGCAAATTGCCAAGGCCGGTTGTTATGAGATTGATGGGGCAGAACCAGGCCTGCATGGAGTCCTTTGTAGACTTAAGTAGTGGGCCGCGTGTGGGATGCCCGTTTGCGACATTAACTGAGGACTAGCCTGAAGCTGATGGGTCTTGTATGAGTCGCACGAAATCGTTGTCATCCCTCTTCTCTAGCTGGTGCTCTATAGCTGCAGTCCCAGTAGTATGACTAACTTGCCGCTTTTAATTACCGCCTCGTCGAAGCCAAAATATGGACACGTACAGACTTCCGAGAAACATTTTGCTTCGGTCAAGGTGAACGTTAAAAGACGTCTTTTTTGCGAACTGTTTAGCAAGCACGCCTTTGCGTATTCTGAATGGCGCGGGGTTAAAAAACATCCTACCAAGTCATTCAGAACGCAGCT